ACCACTGAGCTAAATCCCTGGCCCATTAATGAAATTTAATTAATTAATTAATTTTTGGTACCAGGGATTGAACTTGGGACCTTCCACTTGCGAGGCAGGTGGTGGCACCACTGAGCTAAATCCTTGGCCCCATTAATTTTATTTTTAAAAGACAATTTGTTCTCTATTTTGTATGTGCCTATGATGTTTTTATACTTTAAATTTATATTTTAAAAAAGCATTTTGTTCTGTTTTGAGCACTTAAAAGATATTTTTAATCAAAACACAAAATTCTTGTACAGTACTCTGATTTGTAAAGTTCAGATAACAAGTCCTAAAAAACAGGGTAGTAAATTTATAAAATGTGAAAATTGAAAAAACAGTATAGGTTCACAACAGAACAAGAAAAAAAATTTTTTTTTTGGTACCAGGGATCAAATTCAGGTCCTTGCGCTTGCGAGGCAGGTGGCAGAACCACTGAGCTAAATCCCAGGCAGAACAAGAAATTTTAAAGGAAGCAAAATTACTCACTATAATACTGTAATGAAGATATACTTCATTAGATGTTAAAATACATAACATGTATGACACTAAGAGTGATTCTTCACATAAACTATGGGCTTTGGACGATGATGTGTCAATGCAGTTCATCAGCTGTAATGAATGTACCACTCTGCTGTAGGGTGGTGATGGCTGGGGAGGCTGTGGTGGGGTGAGAATAATTACAGGGAGTGTATGGGGAATCTCTGCCTTCCTTTCTTTTTTTTTTTTTTTTTTTTGGTACCAGGGATCGAACTTGGGTCCTTGTGCTTGCAAGGCAAGCAATGGAAACACTGAGCTAAATCCCCAGCCCTCTGCCTTCCTTTCAATTTTGCTGTGAACCTAAAACTGCTCAGAAAAAGGGGAGGGAGGTTCAAGTTTCTAACTCAAATATGAGTTAGAAAGACCATGTGACCCATTTCAGTAAGACAGTTTTTGAATTTTCATCTAACTCAGAAAAAATACGAATTAAGGGCTTTAAAATGTTACCATGCAATGGAACTGTAACTTTGTGTCCCGTTGTCCCTGCTACTGTGGCTGTGGACATTGTTAGAATTTGCCCAGGTGAAACTGATATATTTTCAACAATGATGCTTGAAGGAGCAATTTTCAATTTTGTCCCTTCTGTTATAATCTTGTCCATAAGCATTTCTTTTGGGGGATCCTCTCCAAAAAGTCTTCTCTTAGCACTCCCAGCAGTTGGAGAACTGTAGCGTTCATGGACAGAAATTGGAGACAGTGGTTGTATATCTAAAAAAGACAAAAATAAATTTAAAAGTTTAAACTGTACTGTAAAATAAAAAATCATGGTTCACTCATTCATTTGCTAGGCACTAAAGATCTAGCAGTGAATAACATGGACTCTCCCCTCATTGAATATCAGATCTAATGGGAGAGAAAGCATGAAATAAGTCATTAAAATGTGAAAATTATGACAGTTCATCTTCCTCGTTTTTTGAACCTCTGACTATATTTAAAGGATCAACATATTAAGGATAAGTAGAACCTGAGTGACAGAATGATGTGACCACTCTATTTAAGAACTAGTCCAATTAGCTTTTGTCTCCCAATCCTAACTAGTTAATAGCACCTGAGAAAAAGAGAAGTAAAAGCAAAAATCAGTGTTTTGGGTCATAGTTTTGTCTCCTTCCACCCTCCAAGCAGCTTAAGCAGTAGCCATGGCTTTTTGATTTAGTAGATACAGAATTATCTTTAATAGGTCTATCAGAAGATATGAGTAAAGGTGACAAGACTCTTCTGACGTGCCCTTAACCTGAGGGCTGGCAGTAGTGCATTCATCAAAAAGAAAGTAAGGGATATGTACTATGCCTCTTGTCTAGTGCTATCTTGCTGCAGGGCTGGTCTCCATCACCTACGCTCAGGGGGAACAGACAGGTTCTTTAGGCTGTTTCAACCATACATCTTTTCTCTTCTCTTCTCTCTTCAACCAATTATTTCTTCACGGACATATACATATGCTTTTTTTTGGTACCGGAGATCGAACTCAGGACCTTGTGCTTGCGAGGCACGCAGTGGCACCACTGAGCGAAATCCCTGGCCCAGACATATACACATGCTTTTTTTTCTTTTCCTGTTCCCTGATGACATTTACTAAAATAATGGAACCTGAAGTGGCAGAGTGCACAGCTCCAAAGAGAATTACAAATGGTGGTTGCTTTTGTTCAGTAGTCAAACATGTGGAACAAATTTGATACTCCTCTCATATTAAAATTTGTTAAAATAGGGCTGGGGATTTAGCTCAGTGGTTCCGGCACCTGCCTCGCAAGCGCAAGGTCCAGAGTTCGATCCCTGGTACCAAAAAAAAGTTTGTTAAAATGCTTTGAATGGAACGGACCTTCAGATCCTCTGAAATGTCCTTAATAGTCAACTGTCTGTTTGATCTAATCATTTCACTCATTTTTAAAATAATTTTTGGGTTTTTGATGTTGAAGGACATTCTTTTTGTCTTCAACTGATTCACAGCCATTATGAAATTGCTCAAACCATTCGGAAACTGTCTCCATAGACACTGCACCATCACCATACACTAATTTTAACATCTCATATGTTTCTTTAGCAGTTTTTTGTAGTTTGAAACAAAATTCCACATTAATGTGTTATTTGCGATCCATTATTTGCAGCAGAGTCGAAAACACTTTTTCTCAACCGAAGCTCACTGAACAAGTTAAAAACTTGTCACACTGTTTCTAAGGTTCCACAAACTGCTTCTCATATTGAGGATCCCTCCCTTTCCCTTGGATGGGACTTAGTAGCTGCATTCACTGTATTTTTGAATATGTCTTCCAGGTGAATGGCCAAATCCAGTGTGGTCCCCCTTTCTCCCCCTGACCAAAAGCTATCTGGAATCTTCAGTGAATTCTAAGTAGGAAGGAACATGAGATACCCTTTGTCCAAAAGCTATATATGCTTTTAAAGTGAAGGCATCTCAGTATTCAATTTTATATTCACTAATTAGACAATCATTCTATTTTCAAAACAGGTTTAAAAGGTATAAAAATTACCTCTGGCAATGATGTGAGAGCTCTCTGTTTTAGTGAGATGACTGGAAAAACAGTCATGGTTTAATAAAAGTCTTTTCATTATTCCAAGTGCTATGAAAGCAGCAGCTCTGACTTCCTCAGTAAAGAAGTAGAAATTCTTTTTTTCCTTTTTTTTTGGAGACAGAGTTCAGGCTGGCCTTGAACACACTATGTAGTTCAGGATGGCCTCAAACTCATGGCATCCTTCTACCTGAGCCTCCCCTAAATGCTGGGATTACAGGCGAGTGCCACCACACCCAGCTGGAAATTTCTATTGTAGCTCCCAAAACCCCTTTACAGGAGTCTACTTGGATGGGTCATATCTAAGGAATCCAAGACAGCCCTTGAATCTGATTAGGAAGGCTCAAAGGTGATCAATGGAAGATTTGAGTTACAGTCATGCAAATTCTTTGAAATAACTTTTTCTTAGCACAATATTAGAAAAAGCAGGTGGATACTATAATATTTAATAAATACATAAATGAAAAACTGATCCAAACTTAGAAAAAAATATGACAATTTACCATGGTACAGAAAAGATGCTTAGTTGTATGGTTATTCTTTTTTTTTTGTACCGTGGATCAAACTCAGGACCTTGCTCTTGCAAGGCAGGCACCGTGACACTGAGCTAAATTCCTGGCCCCTGGTTAAAGTATTCTTGGTAAATTTTTTTTGGGGGGGTGGTACTGGGGATTAAAGCCAAGGCCTTCACTTTGAGCTACATCTCGGACCTTTTTTATTATAAGACAGGGTCTTGCTAAGTCACTAAGTTACCCAGGATGGGCTTGAGATTTTCCTGTGTCAGCCTTCCAGAGTGCTAGGATTACAGGTATACACCAACATGCCTGGCTTCCAGCCCTTTCCAATATTAATGACGTGTGACTGAGAACTACATTGTACGTCTTAACCTGTTATAGTAAAAGAAAGATTGCCATTTAATTTCCCTCAAAATACTCTCCATTGCTTCAAACATACTTATCCTATTATTCTTGCCACTTTCTGGAGCAGTTCTGGAAGTCTTTTTTTGTGAGTGTCTTTAGTTGTGCAGTCATGGCTGCCTTGATGTCCTGAACTGACTCAAAATGTTTGCCTTTCATAATTATTTTGACTTTGGTGATGAGCCAGAAGTCATATGGTGCCAGATCAATGAATAAGGTGGATGAGAACACACTGTATGAGCCTACTTTTTCTTTTTTTTTGTGGTCCTGGGGATCTGACTCAGGACCTTGTGCTTGTGAAGCAGGCGCGGCACCAGAGCTAAATCCCTGGCCGTCTGCTTTTTTTCATTGGATGACAATCATTGGATGGCAGCAGCACTCACTAAATTAAAAAGCACACTTTCTAAAGATCACAAAAGAGGACTTCCAGAACTTCTTTAGAAAGTGGCCAGAACAATGGGATACATGTGTTTGAGGCAAGAGGAAGTACTGTGAGGGGGATTAGTGGCAATGTGTCTTTTACTGTAATACATTTAAAAAAATTTTTTAACACTCACTGTATTATTTGATCACCCATTATATTCTGAAACAAGATCTTGGTATGTTGTCCAAGCTGGCTGGACTGGAACCTGACATTCTCCTGCCTCAGCTTTCCAAGTGTTTCGTTGTTCTACAGTGCTGAGGATCAAACCCAGGGCCTCACAGATACTACAGAAGTGGTCTACCACTGACCTACACTATCAGCCCAGTCTAGTAAATTTGTTTAATTTTTAGTTTTTTGAAACAGGGTCTCTTTATGTTAAGTTAGCCTTAAACTTGTGATCCTTCTGCCTTAGCCTCCCAAGTGCTAGGATTGTGGGTATCTACCACCATGTTTGGGCAGCCTGTAAGTTTTTTTTGTTTGTTTGTGTTGTTTTTTGGCCTTGAGCTCATTATGTAGCCCAGTCTGGTCTCAAACTTGAGGCAATCCTCCTGCCTCAGCTTCTGGAGTGCTGAGATTACAGGCATGCACCACCATGCCTGGCTATAGCCTGTAAGTTTTATTTTATTTTATTTTATTTTATTTTTGGTACCGGGGATGAACTCAGGTCCTTGTGCTTGCACAGCAGGCAGTGAAACCACTGAGCGAAATCCCTGGCCCTGTAAGTTTTTTTTAAACAAAAGGATACTCCATGTTTCTAATGTTTTAAATTATGCTGTACTAAAATATTTTTACTTCTCTAAATATGAATAACTGACAGAAGAATTTGAAATATTTTGTTAAAATTTACAAAGGTCACAAAACAATGACAGTTATTTTGATTGATTAGTATCACATTACATTCATAGCCCACAAGTCATTTCTGTGATTACACACTTCCTGTAAAGCTAAGATCGTAGACACAAACAAAAGGGCATAAACACATCCACACAGAGTTCAAAAATGTATGTAGAGGTACCTTACTATATAACTTTATCTTTTTAGAGATACTATGTGGTCAGATTTTAACTTTTTTTTTTTTTTTTTTTGGTACTGGGGTTGGAACTCGAGTCCTTGTGCTTGCGAGTCAGATGGCGGAACCACTGAGCTAAATCCCTGGCCCAAAATTTTAACTTATTAAAAAAAAAAAAAAAATCCTAGAGTTACATAATCCAAAAGATCTATACATCAGTTTTCTGTGTCACAAGCGAAAATAAGGAAGAATACATTAAAATCTTGGTAAGGCTCAAAACGAACAATTTTAAGACAATACAGAAAAGTTACCTGTTAGATGAACTTGAGCATCGAAAGGAAATACGAGTTTTTTGGATTTTTTTGGGTTTTCTTTTTTTGAGACGGGGTCTTGCTAGTAGTTCAGGCTGGCCTTGAACTCACTATGTAGTCCAGGCTGGCCTCAAACTCACAGTAATTCTCCTGCCTCAACTTCCCAACTGCTATAATTACAGGTGTGTGCCACCATGTCCAGCAATGAGTTCTTTGTTTTGTTTTAAATATTTACTTTCTACAGAGACACATATAAACAAAAGAAGAATAGGGGCCGGAGATTTAGCTCAGTGGCACCATGCCTGCCTTGCAAGCACAAGGTCCTGAGTTCAATCCCCAGTACCAAAAAAAAAAGAATAAAACTTTTGTCAAAATTGGAAAAGTAGGTATTAATTTAAATAATTTCCCATTAGCATTTAGGAAATAAGTATATGCTTATTAAAAGTCCAAAATACTACTTCTACAATAATTGTTACTACAAACTTTAAAAATAGACTATATTGGGCCAGGGATTTAGCTCTGTGGTTCCACCACCTGCCTCGCAAGCTAAGGACCCGAGTTCAATCCCTGGTACCAAAAAAAAAATAGACTATATTGAAAATTGGACTAGAAATCTTCAAAAGTATATGATATACCACAAAAGGTACTAGTATAAACATTAAGTCCCTTCTCATATCCAAATAAAGAAATTATATCTTACTATATGATTGAGACTTGAAAATTTCCCTGACAAAATAGTTTTTGTTATTTTTCATTATTTTACCAATGTTGACCTACCCCTTCGAAGACCCCCACTGTCTGTCCGAACTTCCTTGACTCTTGGATGGATTATAGGAGACATTGGCATCATGGGAAGATGTCCCTGTACATTTCCTCCATTTCCTGTTTCAAAGTTATTTGGAAATATAACCTGTAGAAAACAAAAACTCTTTGCTTTCATACAGATGAACTCAATCATTAAAACTTAGAAAAAAATGAGAAAAAGTTTTCTTAACTGCTTTTACTGTTTTATTTCCCTTTCCAACACAAAATAATTTGCATAAAGTGCTCAATTATTACCACTTATAAATATATAAAATGACTTCATTTGCCTTAATCTTTTAATTTATCTGTGCAAGATACTGACCATGAGAAGTAAAACTGAAACAGGCATTCTCATCCTCCAGTTAGGGATGAGAAAACTGAGGCTCAGAATGTGAAAGTTGCCCATCATTACACTACTATTATGTAAGAAGAAGGACCTTCAATCCTTTTCCTTCAAATTCATAACTTTTTTCCTTTTCTCAATGGATTTTACAATGGATATATAGATGATCAATGCTAAAGACTGACCAATTAATCAGTCTGCTACAGAAGACCAAGCATGGAAGAGAAATTTCAAGAAACTATCTTGCTTTCAATTCTTCCTGGTCTTAAACAGTTCTTCCATTAGTTTGGGATTAGGGAAAATTCAAGATTAGGTAAGTATAAGGAGATACACAAAAGCAATGAAAGGTCAAACAATATGTATTACAAAAGAATAACACAGATGTAGAAGGAAAAACCCTACAATTTCCCCTTTGAAACCGAGCTGCTGAATGTGTCACTTGTGCAAAACTTTTGGCACAAACTTTATTTTTAAATTCTAAATACTACTAATGAAGTGTTCAAATTTTTACATAGACATTTGAAAATTTAAAATTTAGAGATTAATGGTTTCTTAGGTATGATACCAAAAGCACAAGCAACAGTGGGAAAAATACTAGAAAAATAAGACTTCATTCAAATTAGTAATTTTTGAATTCTAAAAGATACCACCAATAAAGTAAAAACTCAACCTAGAGATTGGGAGAAAAGTTTTGCGAATCATATACCTGATAGGAAGTTGTACCTAGAATATACAGAGAACTTCTATAAGTCAATAATAAAGTAATAGAGACAACTAAACCAAAAAATGGGCAAAGGATCTGAATAGCTATTTCTCTAAAAAAAATACACAAATGACTACTAAACATAGGAAAAGATGTTGAACATCATTAACTGTCAGGGAAATGTAAATCAAAACCATGAGGAAAATATGACCACATCTACTAGGTTGGCTAGAAAGAGATAATAATAAGCAACTGAACTCTTTTATAGACTTGACGGTGGGGAAAAGAAATGGTGCAACCATGATTTTTTTTTAGTACTGGGGTTTGAACCCAGGGCCTTCCAACTGAGCTATATCCTCAGCACCCACCACACTGTCTCCACTACCTTTTTGGGGGGTGGTACTTGGGATTGAACCCAGGGCCTTTGCACTGAATTACATCCCCAGTTCTTTGAAAAAAATTTTTTTTTCAAGATTTGGAGACAGATCTCTCTCTAAGTTTCCCAGGTTGTGCTCAAACTCAAGATTTTCTTGAGTGCTGGGAGCCACCAGGCCCAGTTCCATAGTATAGCCACTTTAGAAAACACAGTTACCATATGACCCAGTAATTGTACTTGTAGAATTGTATTCTCATTACGTATTGCACACATATACTAATGAAAATAAGAATCAATGCATTTAATATACTTAAAAAAAGAAAAATGAAAACATGTTTATAAAAAAACTTGTGCCCGTGTATTTAAAATAGCATCATTCATAACAGCTGAAAGGTAGAAACAACACATCTACCTACTGATGAATAAATGAAATGTGGCATAGTTATGCAATGGGATATTATCTGGCAAAAAAAGGAAGTGAAATGCTGATGATACATGCTGCAACACATGAACTTTAAAAATATTATGTTAAATGAAAAAAGCTAGTCACCAAGGACTATGTTTCATATGATTCTATTTATATGAGATGTCCAGAAAAGGTAAATCTAAAGAGAGTCAGAAAGTAAATTAGCAGTTGCTTAGGGTTAGGGGGTAGGAAAGTGATAGATAGCTAAAGGGTGTTGGTTTTCACAGTGATATATGTGCGCCCATGTTCATAGCAGCACAGTTTGTAATAGCTAAAACTTGGAAACAGCCCAAATGCCCATCAACCGGAGACTGGATAAAGAAAATGTGGTTTTTTAATAAAATGGAGTACTACTCAGCCATAAAAAATGAGA